ATTGAAAACTTGTAGTTTTGATAATAAAAATTAGCATATTTATGTGTGAAGTGGTAGTTGTAAACTATTATTTAGTATGTTTAGTTTTACAAGCATTTATTTTCATCATGTTTTGCTTAATAACTCAAATAAAAATGACGCGACAAACCTTTTAAATAGTAAACACAAAGACAGCGATCGCGGTGTACACGTGCTGTTACACGTCATTAAAATCTCAACAGACAAATTACAAAATCAAGTACGTGTATTCAAAGTATAGACACATGTACACCTAGGCGTACACGTTTGAGATCTCAACCTCTCTATTATCTCAATTTACATGATTTTTATACTCGGTCTGAATTGCGCAGAATTGCATGCATGTTGAAATTTTCTTGTCTTAAAATGCTAAACAAACTGATACCCAAACCACTGAAAGTAACTTACCACAATTCTCTGACTTCAAATTACTAAGATGATTTCTTAACAACTTAAAGTCTTAAAATTTTAATTTTTAACTTGACCTAGCTGACTGATATCACTGCAATGCCTACAAATAAAATTATTTTGAAAAAAAGTGAAGAAACTACTAAGAATTTTGCATTTTATGGTGTTTTAATCATAAAAAAATGAACAACAAATAACATTGCAGTAATATTTTAGAATAATGCATTTTTCAATGAAATATTTGGGGCCTATTTAATAGAACTAACGTTAGGCCTCGTGGAAAAATAAAATTATGACTCATTTATGGTCAGGTACTTTATAGGCCTAATTTCAAATTACTTAAATTGTAGCCTGGCTAGGTGCCTTCGAAGATAATAATTCAAAAAAAAAATTAATACTGGTTCAACCATGCACATTTGGAGTATGAAAAATTAACCACGACCAATCTTCTATTGGGGTATCTTATTTTCTTAATCTTTCCGCAAACCCGCAGAGATGAACTAGCGAGCATCTGAGCATCATATTATTAAAAACACTTTGAAATACTTACGCTGACAATACTGAGCAATACTCTTTGTCTTTTTTTAAACTTGAAATGATTTCACCTTTACAAACACAAATAAATCAGGCTAGATCTATATCTCAATGACGTTCTGACTTCGCTTCTTTCTTCCTCTGGCGATGTGTAAACAAAGAATGACGTCAGCGTATACCGGCTTAGGGTAAACATAGTTACGCTACTGTAAAGCCGAAACCCGCAAGATCCCGATTCCGGTTTCTGAAGACTTCTTTATACATGTACATGTGATCATGTAAAAAGAAACTATATTTAAAATATTTTTGTTTTAAATGCATAAGACCTAAATTTTCACTTCCCATGCAACAAATCAGTTGGAAACAAAACAGTTGAAGGTCATGTCTATATAGCATATTTTTGATAAGTTCAGACGAACTAAAATGATCTTTCCATTTGTTTTGTCTCTCTATATAACGATAAGTCTTTCCTTAAAATTATACAATTTAAATCATCAAGCGCTGTCAATCGATGTCAGAGATTTTAAGAATAATTTTTAAAAATAATCGATATATACATGTATTTACCGACTCCGCATATACATTGTACATGTAAATAGCAGACACAGTTTTAAGTCATGTAAAATATATAGAAACATGGGGATATCTAAATTCCTAATCGGTGAAAATTTTAATTCGAACCTAAAAACAAATATTGATGTAAGTAACATAGGCGTCGAAACGGGGGTGGGGGTTGCAAATATATACACAATATAGGCATCGAAAATTGAGGTATATCTTTTCTGCTGGTTTAGCCCCCCCCCCCCTTACAAATATCAATTTCCTTCCGACGCTTATGTGTAAATCTACACTTAATCTTGGATTTTTCATTTTCTAGCTGAGATACACCATTTCAGCTTTAAAATTTTGATGCTACAATGAATCCAAATATTGTTTCTGAAAAATATCTCTGAGTTATAGGTAATTATGTCAAGTTATGGACAATTCTCTATTAATTATTTTAAATGCAGTATATCGTCCTTTTTTAAAATTTGTTTAAGATATGAACTGGATACTTCTTTGAAAACATAGGGCATGTCTGTTAGTAGTTAGAATAATCTAACTGTGTCTCGGTACAGGCCCTCACCACAGTTAGAATACGTCCCATATACTTGCAACGTAGCAAATCGGAGCGGATCCGCTCCGAAACGATTTTGAAGAATATAAAATGATTTGCACTGGGAATAACTACCAAAATAATCAAAACAAACCTTCTTGAGATTGCTTATGCCTTTTATCCCAAAATATAATCCATATAAATACGTAAATCCAATTAATTTTCTCAACGTTTTTCTCTCCATTCAAATGTTTACATTCGGAACTCTCTAGATTGTTCCTAGTAAATGCACTATCGTCCGTGTTTCTTTCTGCTACATTACGAATACACGGAACGAATTCTATCGTTAAACCGGGTCCGTAGGACAATATCATTTTAACGATAGAACATTCTATCTAGTCTGTTAGATGTGCTAATGGAGTCCCTCTGCCGAGAAAAGTTACGCATTCTAGCTTTAAAGTAAATTCAATAAAAACAGAATTGAGCGTTCCTCTGTGATTTTCTTCAAGGAGATCTGCGCGACGCACTTAAAGGTACTTGGAAACAGATTTGAAGTTAATATTTTCTGTATGATATCAAGAATTATATATTTTAATAGCATTTTCACACACAAATTAATTAAAAATCTTATTTCATTTAAAAGTTATAAAAACTTTAATTTTTTTGGCGGGTTTGATTGACACATCCAGTACTTTCACAAATTTTAATTTATTCTTAATCCTTAAGAAAAGTGGCAATCCTGATGTGTATTAATGAGAAAAATTAAAACTTAAATCAGGAAGAATAATTTTATTCAGAGTAGAAATGTTAGAAAGCAGAACTACTTCACAAGTATCGTCATTCCATTGTGTACAGAGTTTTGCGAATCGATCACACTCCTGTTATGTACACAGGTTTCTGTAAACATGTTCTTGTTTGGTGTTTACGATTCATCGGGTGCGTAAATCGCCAAAGTCTGTTCACCACATCTGCACGGACTGACAATATATTGTGTGTTTGTTTTGCCTTAGTACTTGTCTACTCTGAATTTTCTGGATTATAGTATTAATATTTTTCATTGATACACATCAGGTTTGCAGTTTGCAATTTAAAGTTTAAATAACTTTTAAATGAAATAAGATTTTTAATTAATTTTTGTGTGAAATGCTATCAAAAGTAATATATATAAGTTGTAATATTATAGAGAAAATATTAACTTCAAATCTGTGTCCAAGTATCTTTAATGTCAGCAGTTATGACAAATCTCAAGTTTTACTGATTTTAAATTAAATTAAAAGTAATTTGCAAAGGCCGAGTGGTTAAAGTGCTGGGTTTTCACACGGGCGACACGGGTTCGATCCCTCATTTGTCCGATTTTTTAAATCACTTTTTCTGCTACATTTTTAGTTTTTTTCTTCAGAATCGGACGGAAGACCTCTCGTTGCTCGCAACGAGTTTCTTTTCTAGTTTATTATTATTATTCTTTTTCTTCTTATTTCTTCTCCGGTACTTTTTTGTGCTCAGAAACTGTTCACCCAACTGAGCTAAAACCTTTTTAGGGTGAATAGGTGTGTAGTGTAGGTGTGCGGAACAAAGGTCATTTTGCGCGCATACGCATGCACGTGCGGGCACGTGAAATGAGTGGAATGACTGATATATTTAATATAGCCATAACTTTTACATTTTTTAATGAAATCCTTTGAAACTCATTATATAAGGATATATTAATAATATAGATAATATGACACTGTTAAATTAGCAAGAACTCACGCGCATGCACGTGCGCTTCACTCTGATTGGCTGAAACAAAAATCTCGATATCTTTAAGGTTTTTTGACTAAATGCTTTGACATTTTTTACATAGTCATGCATTAGGATACCCTACAATATGATATATAACAATTATGATGAAAGCGCGCGCATGCACTTGCACTGCAATCTGATTGGCTGGACCTTTAAATGGCTATAACTCCCTTGGTTTTCAACCAAAAAGGATGGGATTAAGAACATAGATAGACATAGTGGACTCCTACAAAAAAGTATCATCATCATGCACATGCATGCACGTTCGTGCACGTGCGCTTCGCTCTGATTGGCTGAAACATAAATCTCAATATCTTTTTTGTTTAAAACACAGTCATGTATTACGATATCCTACAATATGATATCTAACATTTTTCATGAAATTATGCGCATGCACGTGCGCTTTGCTCTGATTGGCTCAAACTTTAAATGGTTATAACTCCCTTGGTTTTCAATCAAACAGGATGTGATTTAGAACATAATTAGACATGATGGACTACTACAAGATTGTATGGTCATCATGCACATGCATGCACGTGAAATGAGTAAAATTAAAAATACACTTGAATGAGAGTATGTTTTAATACTTTTGGAATAATACTTCAATACTTAGTTTATAAAAATATATAGATAGTGTGGACAAGATGATATGGTCATTACGCACATGCATTCACATGCGCACGCGTGCAATGCTGAAATTTAAATACACTTGGTATACTTCTGGGAAAACGTTGTTTAAATCTAAAATCCATAGATTCTGTCTCATTTAATGGAGCTTACAGGAAAAATGGCACCAAAAGGGACTTTGGGAGCGTTTGGGGAACATCTGTAACGGTCCCCGTTACAATTAGCACTAGTTGTTTTTAATATATTAATATCAGAAGAGATAAGAGGGAAGATTTTAGCTGCAGAACTGTAGAACAGGTCTCTGGATGAGAGAATCAAGAAAAAAAATTTTCAATAATGATTTTAAGAATTGTTTTTGAAAAATTTAACTTCAAAATAACAGTCCTTACAATGTTTCTAATTACATGTATCTTCTGTAGTCTTCCAATTATTGCACTTCCCTACCATTTGTACTTTGTCATATGATTGTCATGTCGACAGATGTGTAGGGCTTTTGTGATTTCTAGTTTTCCTGACATTTATTATTTATATGTAGGATTGATGGTGATAATGACTTCATGAATGACTTCTCTGACATGCTGCTACAGAAGCTGTTTAGTACCTCCATAAAGGCCTGTCAGGACAGTGACAAAGTCAAGTCTAACGCCGTCAGAGCCCTGGGAAATATCCTCAGATATCTACCAATCAGGAGCCTCGGTAGGATTTGGTTTGGAATTTCTGTAAACCATTGGACAATAGCACTTGCATGTTTATTTTTATTGTTAAACATTTATCACTGATTTAAGCTGCACGTTAATTCTTTATATGGGTTGAATGCAGTTAAAGTAATGATTGTGTTTCTTATTTGTTGTTCATGTATAGAAGAAATTGAAATGATGAGTTGTTGTGTTGATTTCAGGCAAGAGTTCTTTCAGAACATCTGTAGAGGATGGAGTCAAAGCATTAATAAAGAACATCAGCAGTGGAACAATGAAGGTAATATGACATTCCTCTTTATTAGCATTTGTTTATAGCTCACCTGAACCACAGATTTGTGATTTTTTCCTTGTCACCTTAGGTCTATCTGTGCATCTGTCCTTCTATTTTCTTTCTACATTTTCGACTCTTTCTCCAGGACTACAGGGCCAAATTCAAGCAAAATTTCTTAAAATCATCCTTGAGTAAAGGGGATTAAGTTAATTAAAAAATGGAGAATCATGCCCTTTTTCAAGATGATTTAGAAATAATGAACATTTGGTGGGTCATATAACAATCTTTTCCTCAAGAACCACATATAGAAAAGATGAAATAATATTATGACAAGATTCCTCAGGCTGACAAAGTGTGCATTCAATTTTGCTCAAATCATGGGAATAGGATGGTATCTTGATAGGGAATCAAAGTTTTATTTGGGAAATTTTTTTTAAAAAAACCCCACCAGGTGCAGTCCCCTATAAATGATGATTCTACAGCATAAAAAAAAATCTTTTTTTCAACAATGGAAGGGCTTTGATTAGTCATATCAATGCGCAACCATCCAAGTATAGTTCAGGGTTAAATGATATGTTCAAATCATTGTCTTTGAGGTAGGATGGGGCCATTATGAGAAATAAAATTTTACACTGGAATACATCGGAAAAAATCTTTTCTCAAGAACTGCTGTGCACTGATAAGTGAGAAAAATATGCAGGCATCCTCCTGTAGTACAGTTTCAATTTTGTTCCTTTTGCTCCTCTGGCAGAAATATACTATTTTGTGCAGGTTAGCACATGCATCATGATTTTAAATGATGAGGACATTCATAAGGAGTGGGGGGGTGTGTCTGAAGAACAGCTGTACTCAGGTGAACATTGTCGCCTATGGGCCTCTTGTTCTTGTGTGTTACATCCTCAAATTTATTTATGCTGTGATACTTGATATTGCGATTACTTTACTTAGCGGAACTCTTTGTGATGGAGGTAGGAAACGTCTGTTGAATGGGGGAAAATTTGCTATTGAATAGAATGCAAGGTCAATCATCGTAGAATTTATAAGGAAATGTAAGTAAAAAATCCTGGTGGAATAGCTTGCTAAAAAATTGCTGAATCAACCTAATCAATTTTTGAGAGAAGCTAATCCTAAAATGTTACATTTTCAAAGATATTTTTAACTAAGCAGATTTTTCTCATTGAATTTTCATTGAAAATTGTCACATTTTAAAGCTGATAAAATATTCTAAACTATCCTTATTTGTCAATCTACTATTTGGAGTTCAGTCCTTGGCAATAAATTGTATTTTTGGCCTAAAATTCTTTGAATCATTCGATTGTCACTACTATAAACAATGTCATGTGCCCTAGAAATCGTGTGAGATTTAGAGCTTTCTCAATTTCCCCGCAAAAGAGCGGTAGTAAGTTAGATAACTGCGAGGTACTTGCGATATTACTTATTGCTGTTTCAGTAAATGTTGATATATTGCTATCCACTAGTGCAAGTTATTTCTTACTTTTCACAGTTAAGATGGAATGCCTGCTATGCAGTCAGTAACATGTTTAAAAATACACTACTCAATTTTGGAGGAGCTCCCTGGACAGTAAGTTTGATTTTTCTAGCTCACCTTTAGTTTACAGTTTAGGAGAACTTTAGAGTACCCCCATAGCTGATCCTAGGTTAATGTTTCTGTTATATTTATTGTCAATTCAATACATACAGATCAGTCCCCTTTTTACTTTGGAAGCTTCTGATTAAAGTCTGTTTGCTCCTTAATGTAGCTTGTCTACTGAGAAAAAAAAAGTTAGGTCTTTATGTACTTGAGCCTCTTTAATCTAGATGCCTGTTTACCAGAGCAAATTGTGTTCAGATCACTGAAACATACTTGGTATATATAAAGGTATAACTTTTCCCCCACAAATTTTGACCCAACATTGAAATACATGTACCTGAATTATTGCATTGATCTGGATAAACTAGGCTCCTCTGTTATTACATCTACTGTATACAGGGATATTTTCGCCCCTTTCGCCCTACTTTCATTTGGGCGAATTGAAGCAATTCAGTATAATTTCTTAAACAAAACTATGAAAGGGCGAATTTAAGACAGGGTAAATTTGTTTGCAAGCGTGAAAGGGCAAAAATAACATGGGCCGAAAATAACCCTGTATGTATCTTTTTCACTTGTGTGGTAAATGTTAAACTAAGTACATGTACATGCTTACACGGTGCCTAGGAAAAGGCTTTTAATTCTTAAAAACTATTCTACTTTCAGCGAGATTTGATGATAACATTGTGTGCTGTTGTTAAAGACTGTAAGAACTTCAAGGTGCGAATTAATGCAGCGTTGGCTCTGGGGTCTCCATCAGAGAGGGGTCACTATGGCGACTGTCAGCTGTTTTCTTTTATTTGGGAAAGTCTTGTTATCGCCCTGGAAACATCAGAAGACATCACTGACTTTGCTGAATTTAAATACAGAAATAATCTAAACAATCAGGTATTAGTTTTATTTAGTTTTAAGCACTTAGAAGAAGATCCATTTACTGTTTACAGGTTTATTTTTGCCCCATGTTATTTTCACCCTTTTTCACACCTGAAAACAATAATGAACCATTTTAAATTTGCCCAGTTATAGTCTGTTAAGAGAATAATACTGTATTTGATGAATTTTCCCAGTTTTAAATTTGCCCAACTCATACATGCCAACTTTTGAAAATTCCCATGGGGGATTTTGCGCGTGACGACAATTTTCAAAGCTTTAAATTCGCGACATTTTGTCGTGAAAATAAATGATTATGAAATACTTTTTTTAAAATATAATATTGATAGCACTTATTAATACAGCACAAATAATTCAACTCAAATTAAAGTTTTATTTTTCCAAATTTAAATATCTTTGCTTAATAGTTGTCACTCTATTCTATCAATTTACATTTTGTTTCTGGTATGTACCCTTAAAATCAAGTGTCACTTTATTTCCTATAAGTAAGTATATATACACTGCATGATTATTTTTATCTCACACACAAAACAATTTGGAGAAATAGGCCTAAATAAATCATGAATTTTTTAACACAAGCCCCACTCCCACCCATCCCAAAGAAAAATTAAAATTGTAAAAGACTAAATCATGAACATGATGAACTTTTGCAGTCCCAAAATGGGACTGTGGCAATGCCATATGGGTCTCTGGTATTTCCATGACATATATTTAACAAAGAAATACAATGTACAATATGAGTATGATCTATGGGAGAACGGGGGGGGGGGGGGGGATTTAGTGTACTTAACATGAGAGTATTATTTAATATAAATTATTTTCAATATTTTTTTTTTAATTGACAAACTATACAATGATTTTATTATTAGCAGTCAAAATCAGCAGCTATATATGCTTTGAAATTTTCTACTTTCGTTTTCAAAAAAACGATCTTCTTGGATTCCAATTTTATTGTTTGATTATCATTTTATTGACTTTAATTTTTGTTTTTAATACAATTACTAATACGAGGGCTGTTCGAAAATTATTGAGACACTGTGTATATTTTGCTTTCTAATGAACGTCTTTCGGTGAAAATTTGCATATACGTTTGACATACACGAAGAATTGATATAAGCAATAAATATTTTACAAATATTTAATATTTTCTGTACAATGGGATATAAATGCGTCATCAGTAGGGGTACCCGGAGCAGTCTCGAAATCAGATATTGAAAATATGTAGCACCAACATTCTAACTCTTCGTGGACCCATAATAAGAGCAAGAAATAATTCTGTTTATGTTATAGTTTTTCAACTGTCATTCAAATTCATGTTGTAAATTTTTTTTAGAGTTTTGATCAGGAATATGAAGATCATAAAAAAATTAAGCGCGGTAGAGAAATCTGCTAAGAACGAAAATTTGGATTTTGACGTCAAGGGCGGAGCAGCGAACATACCTAAAATTTTGTGTAGCGCAATGTAGGACTCTTTTGCAGACTCAACGACCTGCTAAAACAATAACAACGAGAAAAAATGTGTCAGGGTTTGTTATTTCATTGGTATACATTTTTTTAAATTCAACCAGAGTAAAATCAAAAGCTTCGGACGACCTACAGATACTACGTACGGCATTACATGTAACGTCGTTACGGTATTAAATCGTTGACCTGCGTTGCACAAATCAGCACTGCATGATTTTAAGTCATGTTTTTCCACAAATGAAAATTTTACACTCAGGTAGCAAAGGTATACATTTTTAAGGAAGTTTAAGAAAAGAGACTCTTTGATTTTTGTACTGTTATATGTAATTACAAAGAAGGAAAAGTATACATGCTTCCCGATCTTTTCACATGCAAAACCATCTCCGGCTGACGTGACATTAAATTTGATTAGCGATGCTGCTCCGGGTCAATAGACATATGCATGTTTATCTT